GTTCCACTTCAGCATGTTCCTGGGCCCGGACTTCTTTTCCAACGCGATGTTTTGGTGCTGAGCGCTTCAATACTTCCGAGTAAGAGTCGTGGCGCCACTGTTTTGCACTTCTTTGTGCCGCAGGAACATCTTCGACTATATCCGCATTGGGTGCTGGACCTTTTTGTATCTTATGGTACCCTTTTACAATTCTCTCTCTTTGTGCCGCTGATGCCAAACGGTTTCGAGAGCAGCCTGAGAACGACGCCGGATGTGGTCCAGCACAGTTTGCACACTTAGGTTGACGCTTCGAGGTGCATTCTTTGTAATCATGTGCGCCCGCACATACCTTGCATCTCTTGGTTCCCCTGCAAGTCTTAGCCTTATGCCCATATCTCTGGCAGTTGTAACACCTTACCGCCGGCTCAATGTATTCCTCGACAGTGTGAACCGTAAAGCCGAGAGCAACTCTTTTTGGCAATGGCATGTCATGTCTAAACTGGAGTATTACATTTCGTATGGGCTGCATTGTGACACTTCCATCTTCATTTCTAACCCATCTCTTTTGTCGTGTGACGGAGATTACTCCAGCATCTTTAAGATAATCCAGTAGGTCAAAATCACTGTATTCGAGTGGAACATCTCTTATCTTTGCTAGGGTCTTCATGTAAGACTGAGGTATCATCACTTGTACAGGCAATCCAGCCAGACTCTTGATCAGCAGTAACTTGTTTGCCGAGTACAAAGACCGTACTCCAACACAAAAACTTCCGTCTCTGTTGATTCTTGATGATGTCACTTTCTCATTGATAGCAGAGATTATCTCAGACGCTATGCGATTGGGATTCACCTTCCAGAAGGAGTCCTCGGCAGCGATTGGTCTGAATACCACCGGTATCCCCGTAGCTCTGTTCTTGTGATGGGTGACCACCGTGTAAGCTCCCTCGTCTTCCTTGGGTGCTTCTGTATCCATCTGTGTCATGTCATTAAGGGAGTACGTCGATGTAGCGTCATCGTTGTCAACCTCTTCCTCCTCTGTACGCCTCTTCTTGCACTGCGAGGCCTCGCTGCTCTCTGTAGGGGACGTCGATATTGTTGCTGAGCCTGCAGCAACTTGAAGTCGAGCGGGATGGATAAGTGGTGCTCCTCTTGGCGCTAGCGGCATCTCGTTGTCCCCCATACCCGGGCTTTGCCAGGTATGAGGCACGGGCCCGCTAAGGGGCGATTCTGATCGCGATGCGTAGTGAAACTCCGACTCACCGATGTTTAGCTGCCACTCTGGAGACAGTCCACCCACCGTACACACTGTAAAAAGATCCTGAACTCAATATAATAACTGAATTAAGAGAGCGAAATGAAGCTACGGGCTTCTTCCATTCACTTCTTCTTCCTCCTCCGGCTACGAGGGATGAACGGGGGCCGCTATAGAGAGCTTCGCCCCTAACAAGAATGAGCGACCAGGCTAAGACCGAGGAAGAATGGTGTCTGAAGTACAAGCTAGCAAAGTGACGAGTGGCAAAGGAAAATAACACGATTTTAAAGCAAACAAAACTAGCCTGCGTGCGTGTGGCGTATGCACAATATCGGGCGACTGTGTGCCTGAGTGGTCTATTTATCACACCGCTACCTAAAGTGAGCGTGACAACCACGAACGCCTTTCGCGGATAAGCTGGAAGAAAGCATAACATAACATTTTGAACTCTGAGTAAACTTCTATTCTTTCGCCATCTTTTTAGTAACCATTGAGTCAGACATCGCTTTCCGAAACAAAGAGAAGGCCGTGGGCGTCATTTTTTGACATCTCCGATGTTTCAGCCTCAACGCTAGAGCTATAGCTGCATTTGCGGACGACAGGCAGCAACGCCTCTCACGGTTACAGAGACGACGGGCATACAGACTGCAATGCTTTCAAAGTGACCATCGCCACCTGTTGTAGACAATTGTGATGGCCTCTAGTCAAACACAACTGAAGGTGTTCAGAGAGGCCACACCCAGCCGACCAAAGTGCTACAGTGGATGACCTTGGGAGACAGGGTCGCTGCTGAACTCAGTAATATTTTTGAAGGTGGCGTCATCAGCCTTCCAGTTCATGACGCATTTCAAGACTGCGCACCCATTGGTGTGCACCTGTGTGTATTCGCGTTTCAGGTTGAAATGTAGGGTACCGAAATTGTATGCTATGTGGATGCTATGTGGACGCGCCGTGGTTGGGGAGCGGTTGCGTTGTTCGGCAGCTGACCGCAATGTCGTGCGTTCGATCTCGGCTGTAGCCGTTGTGTTTCGATGAAAGCAAAACCCTAGAGGTGCATGTATGGTGCAAGGTCAGTGGTAAAAAATACCGTATAAGAAAAATTCTCGCATCCCACTACGACGGCTTCCCTCGTAATCATACGGTGGTTTGTGACGTAAAACAAGAGAGGTTACAATGATCGCAAGTTTTTTTCGGTACCATTTTTCTGTTTTACGAACGAGAGACTAAAGGAGCGAGCCTAGGCTTGCCGACACTGCTTGCGTTGGTGTTGCAAAGCGATAGAGGACCTAAAAGACAACCTGTATAAATGATAAATGTGCAATGAATCGCTATCGGACCATATTTTTTGCTATCATCCTGTCGCTGCATTACAGAACGCTGCATTCGAACGCAAGCAACAAGCAATATGATTCCTTCCCTATTTGATGATGTTCCTTCTCTTCACGTGAAATTTCTTCGTCAGCTGTAAAATTTAGCATGCTATTGTATGCTACTGGGAAAAGGGTAGTAATGTAATTTAAAAATGCCTAAAGATTTCTCAAATGTCTTTTTTAAAATTATTCAATTGCGTCTAATCGAAATATTTATTATACCTAAATAACTAAAGCTCTATGAAAAAACTACTTAAACGCTATGTCTGTGCTTTTAAACGTTATGTAAAAACAGTCTTTTTTGCGCAACGCGGATCTGTTTTCTAAATATTTTGGAGCTCTATTCGCAATGTTCATGAACTGTCGCGCCGCCTAGCGGAATTCAGGGGCGTCTTGTCAAGGATGATCAGTAGGCAGACGCTTCCAACGATCCCTTGTTCGGCGGTGCTAGCCTCGGTGTTAACGCGTTAGCAAGAAACGAACACAAACGACTTTGTTTGTTGCGAGCATCAGTGAATATGACCGACCGTCCGTGACACGGTAAATCTGATTCGTTCTTGCGAAAGGCGAAGTTTTCAAGAAAATACGTGACAACTCGCGCTTTTTAGTATAGCTCGCAGAGTACACATATCAGCTTCGCGAGATTTTCTGCAGCCACGCTGGATAGTGAAATGTTCTTGTCTATCCTTTGCAGCTGAAACTCACCTTGTTTTACATGCGTACACTATTCGTCAGTGCTTTTGTAGTGCATAAATTTCATACCATTCATTGCAAGCGAAAAGTAGCGCAGGCTCACGGTTTGAACTTTCAATCTTCACCTACGCTGCACCGCTGGTTTTTCACGCTCGTTGACAGATGAGAGCACACTGCAAGCGATTCCTTTATTGCCTGGTATCGAAGAAATTCGAACGAAATGTTTTGCGCACTCCCAGATAAACGTGGTGAGTGACGCCGTGTTGAGGTTGTGCAATGACGCGTTGGCAGTGCTATCGAAGTCGTTCGGCGGTTAAAATTTTTCAGATTACTTCCAGCAGTGATGTTCAAAGTAACCGTCTTGACGTCGAGAATTTTTACTGGACATAGATTGTTGTGAACGCGCTGAGAGTGACAGCGCCGATGAACGATCAGCTGCTAGCTCACGAGCAGCGAGTTGCACTTCCTGTCACGTCGTGCGTTAATGTTTTTTTTTTCACGTTTGTAAGTCACTTTGATTGAAAATATTGTATATAATCCTTCAGCGAGCCCAAAATAAAAAATGGTGCATTACATGTAGTTCGATAAGAGTGAATATTACAAAACGCCATATGTAGCCAATTCGTTCGCACTCCCCAGCAAAGTTATTTGATTAGACCAATATGAAATATGCAGTTACGACTACAGTCCATGCTAAATTCTCCTGCACCTCATCGGTGCCATCCGAACGACGCTGTTGTCTGACAAATTTTCACAATTTTCACGTTGCAAAAATTATACGCATGTATTCGTTTTGATATTCTTCTTTCGATCGCGCTGATAGAATCTGCAGCATCCGAGTGCAGCAAATCGCGCACTGTTGCAGTCTGATCATGGCTGTGACCCAAGTGCTACTTAATGGAAAGTTAAATGCTTTTGTTCCGTTGAAGAAGCCGCTTCATGATGCTTGCAGCGCAAGTAATGACGACGGTGTAATATGCTTGCAAAAGATCGCCACGGCAAACATTCGTTCGTGTGAACCCGCGCGCTAGTGGCCTGCTACTACAGCTAGTTCGCCAGGCAGGCTCGGCACAAATTATGCCGTTCAGTTCATACGTGAATTCTAGTTCGCGCAGTTTTTTGTAGCACACACATGATTACGCAAAGCATCGTTGATACACGGACGATCAGCTGACACCGCCACCCTACGCACTGCGGCAAGAAATTAGGTAGCTAAATTCAGGAGTTCCTATAGTTTGGGAAAATACTTTGGTCCGATATACATTCATTTGACGATCAAGAGTTCATCCGGTGAAATCGGTACGGGGATCACGTCCGTGCGTCCCATCTTTTCCTATGCGAGTTCATGGGTTGATCATCCCTCCGAAGCCATCTTGGATTGCACGGCGCGCCACCTATAGGCCGTCGGCATTGCGAATAGCACGGACACTTTGCAAGTGTAGTCGTGTATATGCGTTATTGATATGATGACCTGGCTAAAGCATAATGGTCAAAGTGCAAAACGTTCACTATAACGGTACTGAAGACCTAGTACCTTATGGTTGAGTTGAACTTTTGTGCTCAGTGATATCATGTGTCCAATGTTTATAGCTGTCCGTGGCTATGTAGCGGAGTCGACTTTCAGTAAGGAATTTTGTGTTATATTGAGTAACTGTAAAATGGTACGTGATAGTTTTTTTACTTATTATAATGTATGTGTTGTTCAGCGACATCACGACCGACCTGATCGATGGCTATGCATCGCTGCACGACGGGGCCCACGTGCAGCTGCTGCTGAGGACGTCGGGGGAGACGCGCCTAAGCGACTTCCTGCTCTTGCAGAGCAGCCACGCGCGCCTTCACTTCGAGCCCAAGAACTTGCCCGAGATTGGTTTCGCCGACTACGTGTGGGCCCTAATTGACTATCAGCTGCAGCATCATAAGCTGCAGGTGATGCCATCGCCGTGCACACTTTTGCTTTCTTATATGTTTCGTAAAATATGGCATTGTACTACGTATAGTTCATTAGTTTCATTTTTGAGCAAGAAACAAAAAAAGGTACGTGCAAGAAACAGAGACACAAGATTGACTTTACCTTCAAACTAATGTTTATTTGCTGCTATTTAACCCCCAAAATGTCGAAAGCCCACTTCACCATGCTAGGGCACCTCTTCTCGTTCCCACAAGAATATTAGATAACAATACAGCCCACATCTTAATCGACCCCTGTGACGTCATACTAGCAGACAGCGACGCAATTAAAAACGCCAGATAATGAAAGCTTGCGATTGTGAAATGCGTCTTCAGACTCGAGCTTTTATCACGAGAAAACTAAATTCGCCAGATTAGCTGCGAGGAGTGCTCACTCTTATAGGGTGAAGATTTCTGGAATCTTGGCTGATACACACTAGTCTGTTTTTTTTTACTTGAGATTCCGTGACATTCTTGTACGCCATGTTACTGCTCAAGTACAACATTGATGTATCATTAGGAAGTGGTTCACAACCGCATGGCGCATGATGCATCGCAAGGTGAGAATATAATGATTCTTTCAGAGAGGTGAAGTGCTCTGCCAACCAAATGTTCAAACATCAGCCAGTCTCTCCGATGCATTCACCGACGTGCTACATTGCAACAACATACGTACCAAATCTGAAGGTACACGTAGCTAGTTTTTTTTATACTGCTCGTGCACCTATGCAGTATTGTACAATTGGCACCCACAGCCCTTTTCTCAGTGAAATCAATGTAAACTTCTTGGCATGTTGCGCCTTTTAACGCAGTCGACAGCTCATGCATGAATGGAATAACTGCAGTCTGTTTATTATCTACATTCCGTACATTTTTGCATTTCTTGTCTACATCCACACCACCCACGCCCGCATGCAGACACACGCACACATCTACTTATGGGTTTGGGTCTTAAAGATTTATGTAGTGTTCAATTTTAGTAAGTCTGACTTCCAGGAGGTCAGATTGAGGAGGTTATTGGTCAATTATGGGTTGGAGTAGTGCGAGAGGGTATGATTGTTTGAGTGGTCTGCTTTCACTGCGTTCAAACTTTCACGTGAACTCTTCTCCACATAGGGTTTCAAAATAAATCTCGCACCATTCTACATTGTACAACAAATACCTTGTAATGCTAAGTTTCGAGGGTTATATTTGGGTACAAAACACTTTTGGGTCACGCATGGCATAGTAATGGTCCAATAAGTATAGTTACTTCCCTTCATAATAATAAATTTTCGCACCTGCACATTCAAATGAAAGAAAAAGAAATTTCATTGGAGTATTTTTGTGCAAGCTAAACATACTTACGGAACGCCAACTCACTCACCCAACTTTGCCACGCACACACTTCTTTTAACACGCTTCATGTCACTGGCCATTGCACGTGTGACGACCGCCTTGCGCAAACCACGCACGAATATCCGTGAACATTCCAGGTCACTTTAGGATATTTTTAGGATTAAGTGCTCAAGCTATTGCTGCACTTTAAGTTCATAAAATTCAATAATCTGCTCTATAAATAAACAAAATAGATTGAGTAAAAGTTCAGTGTAACCTACAAAGTGTTTAAGATTTATAGCGAGGTTAATGCACCAGCTTACGTCCCGTATTCTAGGTTAGCACGAATCAAAATAACCATAACCGTGAGCAGGGTTCCCCATTTGTAATGCTGAAGTCTCACCCCAGCAGTTCCCCACTCCATTCTCACCTCCCATTGCTCGACTTAAAAAAAAAAAGCTTAGCGGTGATTCAAAAAAATTGCAAAAACAGTACTGACCTGTCGTCCACAACATCGTCCTTGGTTCCTGGGTTTCCAGGGGCAAGAATTGCAACTAAACATCATTTTAAAAGCGACACCAGTGGGTCTAAGCCGGGATTATTGTTGAAAGCGTGCATGGCCATTACATTCCTTTTAAAACAACCGAGAAAGGGGTCTGTCGTAATAAAGCCAGACTTTTCACTCTATTCATGTTATTAAACAGGCAGTCACCTCCCCCTCTTCTGCCCCCTTCGAGCACATGTCTAGGAAAGTAACTGAGTGATACAAACATTAGGCCGTGTAAGCGTGCTTCTTAAGCAGGCGTTTTATTTTCAGGTGGAGAGCCATGCTCCCGCTGCGCCGATTGGAACTGCCATTGACCAGACTCTTCGGAAGCGCTCTTTCCTGAATCACATTCGAGCTGAGAATGCCACTCTAGCTCGAACGGCTCGCACATGAATGAAAAAGCAACAGTGCACGCTACCAGAGTAAAGAAAGTCGATTGATCACAACTAACTGTACCACTAGGAACATCGCGCTCCGTTTGACTCTGGCCTCAGTAAACTACGCGATTCGATGAAACTAGGTGACTACATCAATATCGCACTCATCGAAATAGCACTAGACTGGTGTACATTATCGCAATAAATTGCATCAATTTATCACACGCAGTTTCTAACTGATCGCCGCAACAAGTAGATAAAACGGGTGACGTTACCTTTACAAACCGAAGTCCATCCGTCCTATCGCACGCACTTCTATTGGACCAACGCCATCTAGGAGACCAGAAATGGTTAAGGCGCCTCCATGTGCGCGCCCCCTCTCAAGGTGCTCTTCCCTTTTGTTCTGCTCCTTCCACCATTGTAATGCCTGCAGTGTCTTCACCAAGCTGCAGAGCTCACGTGGCGGCTTTCTTTGGCATGTCTTCCCTGGATATTGAATTCCTCAGGCCCACAACAATTCGCGTTAAGCTAGTTGGCCACTACGCGCTAGAGCAAAACCTGTATGCAGCAGGAGTGATAATGGCGGCCGCCGCAGATGTCTTTACTCTGAATGGACGAGCGGCCATCGAGGCACTATAGAAATGGTAATGAAACAGGCACCATTTATTATACTGTTCAAGAGATACTGCCGCTTACTGTATACACTGGACAAGGTTAGAGTAAGAGGAGCTTCGCCTCTAATAAGGGCTGCATGTTCGGGTTACACATGACCAAAATTAACCTAGTTAGAATGCTCAGTGTCTGTCGATACTAAAGAGTGCGAAAGTTAGTGTCACGACGAATAAGAATATAATGATAGATATTGTGGATTGAACAATATCGGAAAAACTTGTGAAGTGAAGTAAGGGGTGGCCGTTGAAGTGAGTCTTTTTCGGCAGTAATGCTCTCGTGGCGGTTCTAGTTGTGAATAATTGAACGAGCTCAATTATTTTTCAAGGTGCTACAACGTGCAACAATAAATCTGTTTATATTGATAAATGGTACTGGGAGAAATCTAACAATCGCAGTTTTTTTTTACTAAATAACAATATCCAGCAGCTGGCAAGCCACACCGAACGTCCGCGGTTATTCTACGAGCCACTCAACGTATGCGCGAAGGGACACGTGGCCCCCAAAGCGTCTCGGGGCTTTCCACCAGCAGCGCGTGCATGCAGTAGCTGCGCAGTTGCGGTAGCAAGCAAAAAGAAGTTAAAAGAACGAGAAAGAAAAAAATCACAGCATATCTACGGACTGAAGGATGATGAGTGGGGCGAAGCGTCCGTCCGTTCGTGCATTCGTCCCTCCGTCCAACCGTGGGTCTGTCTGTCTGTCTGTCTGTCTGTCTGTCTGTCTGTCTGTCTGTCTGTCTGTCTGTCTGTCTGTCTGTCTGTCAAGTGAACACTGCAAGTACCACCATGTCACATCTTTTCATCATATATTGAATGAATGGATTGGATGGATTGATATGGCTATACCCTTTAGATCGGGCGGTGGCTAACGCCACCAAGCCGTAATACTTAGTGAACCAAAAACAAGATTTATTTCTTTTCCTTTAAATAGTGAGGTTGAGAACTCGTACTTTACAGTGATGGGTTTAATTTTCACTCGTGCCTTGACTCTAGCCATTAATAAGATAAGGTCCTTATAGTTAATTCTACCCGCTTAAAGTCTATTTGCCCTCCCTTTCCCTAAACCCCATGGCTTTGAAAAACTCTGCGCCATCATCCTGAACTATAGGGTGAAGCCCTTTACAGAACATTATCAAGTGTTCGGTAGTTTCCTCTTCCTCTCCACAATGCCCTGCATGCCGTATCTACCTTCTTCGTATTTGGCCCGAGATGTCTTGGTTCGCAATACTCCCGTTCTGGCCTAAACAGTAGAGAACTACCCCGACTATTATCATAGATCCTTTCCTTGGCAATTTCCTGCTTAAAAGTTCGATAGATCTCTAGTGCGGACTTCTTTATCATGCCAACCCTCCACATATTGGTCTCAGCTTCCTTCACCTTCTTCTTAATCGATAATTTTATTTGGTTTGGCCCCCTGCTGTGTTCTAATTATTTACCAGTCAATTTTCTGTTTCGCTTCCTCCATTTTGTATTGGCAGTTCTTCATGTACAAGTAGCTGAATATCTTCCTAGCCTAAAGCTCTTCTCACATTTCTCTCAATCGCTTCTCAAATTTTATCTTGCTCCTAGTTCTCTGCCCTCAAATGATGTCCATCCCACATCACCTTGTACTTCCTGATTTGGTGTATTCCCGTGAGCTCCTAAGGCAAGCCTACCTATTCCACGTTGCTTAATTTCTAATCTTGCTTGAACTTCTCATCTCAAGCACAAGACCACATTGCCGAACGGCAGACCAAGAACCATGACCGCTTTCCATATTCCTCTCACAGCATCATACCTATTGTAATTCCACAGTGCCCTACTTTTCATCACTGCTGCATTCCTGTTACCTTTAGTCGTTACGTATATTTCGTGTTTCCTTCGGTACTCAGTCCCATTGCTTATCCATACGCCCAGATGCTTGTATTTATCTGTTATCTCTTGCGTGACCTCATGTATTCTAAGCTCACTACCTTCATTATCATTAAAATTATGACTGCAGATTTTTCCTTACTGAATCTGAAATCTAACATAACTCTCTCATTACCGCAGATGTCCATCAATCTCTGCAAACTTTTCATGTTGTCGGCCATTAGCACTATATTGCCACGTTCCATTTCACAAGTTTTTGTTATCGTTCTGAAGCACCGCACGATTCTCGGCGCAAGCCGCGCCTGCAGGTTTCTAGAGGGTTCCGGACTGTAGTAGATCATTTCGATAAGATCACGCCCACTGTGCGAACGGTACAGATTGTTCTGTAACCTACGCCACCGCCAGCGATAACGCTAGAACATTCGACGGCAAGGGTATAAATGCCGACGCGCTTCGCCACTTGTCAGTTGTTGATCGAAGGCCGACGCTGCGTTCGCCACTATCAGTCCGAGACTGCTATCTGTGCAAGACTGCTGCTGTAATTAGACTTTCCCTTTACCGGGCACAGGTTCGCCCAAATAAACAGTTAAATCCCAACACGAAGTCTCCTGTCTTCGGCCACGTCACGACCCCGTGACATCTGGTGGAGGTGCTGCTTCGCTCATGTACCGGACGCCCCCGTCAAGCCGTGAACCCAGCTCCCTTCGCGGAGAAGACACCGACGCCAACCAAGAGCAGCGAACGAGCCGCCGACAGCAAGGTCTCCCACCGGAGTACGGCCTGCTACAAGACAAGGCGCGGAAGACCAAGACCATGACCTCGACTGCAGCGACAATGACAACCGGAGCGTCCCAGCCCGCGATCGTCATTCATCAACCTAGGGAACCACCAACGTTCCATGGCTCATCGTTTGAAGACCCGGAAACCTGGCTAGAAACATACGACCATGTGGCCGTCCTCAACCACTGGGACAACGAAGAAAAGCTCCGTCGTGTGCACTTCTACCTGGAAGACACCGCAAGGACCTGGATAGAGAATCGGGAGTCCACGCTCCGAACGTGGGATGTCTTCTGCGGCGCATTTCTTCAAACGTTCGCAAGCGTCGCTCGCAAAGAGAGGGCCGCTGCTCTACTCGAGACCCGGGTTCAGCTACCAAACGAAAAGGTTGGAATTTTCACAGAGGAGATGACCCGCCCATTCCGTCCCGCTGACCCAGACATCCTGAGGAAAAGAAAGTTCGTTTCCTCATGCGAGGGGTCAAACAGGAGCTCTTCGCGGGACTAATAAGGAACCCACCGAACACCGTCCAAGAATTTGTATCCGAGGCGACCACAATCGAAAAAACGCTGGACATGCGCACCAGACAGTATAATCGTCGCCTGACTCCAGAATGCGCTGCTGCTCAAGCCAGTGACTCCGACGACCTGCGTGAAACGATCCGAGCGGTCGTGCGGGAAGAGCTGCGCAAACTGTTGCCTTCGGCGCAGCTTCAAGTGGATTCAATCGCCGACATTGTGCGAGAAGAAGTCCGGCAATCGCTTCGAATTCCCGAAACACCGCCGCCCGAGCCAGAAACTATGAGCTACGCCGCTGCAGTGCGCCACAGCGCTGCTCCCCGTCCACGCCAAAACACCGCCCCGTCACACTTCCGTCGCCAGACGCCACCGCCGCCACCACCCCAACCGACGTCCTACCGTTCCCCAGTGGGCCAGCGCAGTGCACCGAGAAAAACGGACGTTTGGCGTGCCCCTGACAACCGCCCGCTCTGCTACCACTGCGGCGAGGCCGGGCACACATACCGCCGTTGCCAGTACCGACAGATGGGACTGCGTGGCTTCGCCGTCAATGCACCGCGTCCGCAGCCAGGAGATCGGCCACGTGACATCGCCGACTACCTGGCAGGAACTCAATGGACACCACGAAGTCCTTCCCGTTCGCCGTCGCCCAGCCGCCGCATGTCACCACACCCCAGGCAGTACTCTGGCCCAACGCGGGGCCGGTCTCCTAGCCCGTATCCGGGAAACTAAGGGCAGCAACCGATGGAGGTGCGGTTGCTGTGCGACGAACTACCGAAGATCCTCCGACCACGACGCCGACGCGACGGAGCTTTTTGAACACAACCCCAACCAGGAAAAGCCCTGAAGGCAAAAGCTCACTTACCGAAGGTGGCCGGACGACGCAACATGAAAGCAGCGGAACAAGCCGACGCAGCCGTGACCCGACGCCACGCCCTAACTGTAATGCGAGACGGCGAACTAGCGACCTCGACGTTCTTATCGACGGCCACAATGTGACTGCTCTCGTCGATACTGGAGCCGACTATTCTGTCATCAGTGGGTCGTTCGCCGCGAAGTTAAAGAAAGTTAGGACAGCTTGGAAAGGCCCTGAAATCCGCACAGCCGGAGGTCATCTCGTAACGCCTGCAGGAATCTGCACAGCGAGTCACCATTAACGGCCGTATTTATCCTACAGACTTCGTAGTCCTACAGCGTTGCTCGAGAGATGTCATCCTTGGCATGGACTTCTTATGCCTCCATGGTGCTGTCATCAACCTAAAAACAAGGTCGATAACGTTATCCACAGAAGAAGCACTACCGCCGCGCACGCCGTCAGGACACCATGCCTTGAATGTGCTGGAAGAACAAGTCACCATTCCGCCTCGCTCGAGCGTCATTATTTCAGTCGGCGCTCCTAAATCACCTGAC